ACTTTGCCTATTCCTCGTTCTCACATCTCTGTTGCGCGAATAGGACTACATTGGTTTCGTGTCGCGGGTTTAGAGTAGGGTTTGTAGGTGAATGTAGGGCGGTTGTAAATGAAGATGTTGATAGGGCAGACGTCGGGTGTGAGCCGAGGGCAGTTGCGGTCACGGTTGCTTAAGATTGATCAATATATGAGGTGGGGTTTTGTGGCAAGCGGATCGGGCCGGTGGGGGTGAGAAGCCGGGTATGTGGGGCTGTCATAAATTTATATTGCTGTTGAGGCACCTCCGAGGGTCTGATATATACCTTCTCGGAGCGCGATCCGAGAATCAGACACTTCTGCTCGGACTACTGCCAACTCCGACGTCGCAAGGAGCCGGAGACGACGGGGTTGACCAGACCCAAGCAGGCGATATAATGGCGATATACATCGTGTAGCACATCACACCACATATATGAAAGTTGAAGACTTAGATACCCCCTGTCTACCCCGTCCCTAGACTCCGAGCCTAGAAAATGGTATCATATCCGCCGCACCCCGTCTCCGAACCGTGACCATGCCCGAGAAACGCCGTCCCAGTACCCCCTCCACATATCCTCCTACTTAACCCCCACAAACGCCACCCCCAGCCTCGCCCCCCGACACGCCGCCTTAAGCGCCTGCTCCTCCGCATCCGTCCACTTAACACTAACCTCATCCCACTTCATAACGCGATACTCCTCGCGAAACTGCCTCTGCTGGTCCAACAACCCGGTCAAAGCGCGTGGATCCCCTGTGCCGGAGTACACAACCAGCGTCGCCGTCGGCGGGAGCGCATCCCACACACTCTTCACGCCCCTCGTCATCGCCTCCACCGCGCGGGCAAGCACATCGACAGCCGGCTCGCTCTCGTCCCCGAACCCCTCATCCGCGACCCCAATCAAGGGATGGAAGAACCGCGCCCGCGCCTCGCGGCGCAGCACATCACCCTCGTTCTCTCCCGGCCCCTTGCTCTTGCACCACCACCCGCGCACAGCCTCTAACTCCCGCAACCTAGCCCAGACGAAGTCCACCTTCCCATGCTCCCCGCCCACAACCTTAACAACCCCGTCCACAACCTCCTGATCAGAGTTGCAGCCGGTGACTACGTGCGCCGCATGCCCGTGCCCGCGCTTGGGATCGCCCCAGTCTACGACAGCGCCACGGCGCCCACCCGCAAATCCCGCGTCGCGCTGGTGGCCGGGGACATGTGCGCGGCCGAGGCGGCGGAAGATCGGTTCGCCGGCGGATTCGGACGTGCCCCAGCCAGGTCCGCGCTCGCACTTGAGACGGACTAAGTCCAGAACCGCGCGCGCGTCTTCGATGGAGTCGTGGCCCATCGGTCCTTTGTCCTGGATGCGGCGGGAGAGGTGCTTCTCGACGAGCCATTTGAGGGAGGATTTCAGCGGCGGTCCGCGCGGGTGGGGGTACAGCAGCGCCGTGTCGACGAGGAAGGGGTGCGTCAGCTTCAGGGCTTTGAGGTCGCCGTGCAGGGAGTGGCCGAGGAGGATAGTGCGCGGTGTTAGCAGCTTCACCAAGCGTTGTTGAATATCCTGCAGCGTGGTAGTCACGTTGGCGAGCTTCTCGGCCGTGATGCCGCTGAACTGCGTCAAATAGTCGGTGATCGGGTTCGCGGGCTTGACGTATTCGTCCATGACGACGTCACCGCCCCAGTTGACGATGCTGATGCGCGTGAGTTCGAATTTGTCGGGCGCGGTTTTGCACATCTCGCAGTCGAGGGCGAGGACGGTGCGCCCGGCGGTCATGGAGCCGGACTCGATTTCGCTGTCGGGGACGCTGCCGTCTTCGAGGCGGTCGACTTTGGTGTTGACCCAGCCGTGGATTGGCGCTGTTTCGTCGGCGACGCGGCGCGCAAGCCCGATAGATTTGAGGTGTGGGGTGGGGTAGAGCGCTGGGTGGATGGCGTAGCCTTCGTCTTGGAGATCCTCGAAGGAGGCAATGTATTCCGTGATCGGCGTGCGCTTGTTCGTCCAGTGACTTGTCTTGGCCGGTTGAACCCCCTTGGCGCTTTTCTCTTCCTTCGATTTAGGAAGCGGCGACACGAGCATGCCTTGGAGGGGAGAGTGGAGGCGTGATTGCTTGTCGTCGCCAGGCGCCTTGACCGGGAACATGTGAGTAAACATCTCCTCAAATGGCTTGAGTTCTTGCGGTAGATCGAGCGTCGACAGCTTTACGGGATAGTAATCGTCCGGCGAGAGCGGCTTCGAGGGATCAGAGGTGGTTGTTGTGACTAAGGCGACAGCGGCAGTCGTATCTTTGCTCTCTACCTCCTGGGATGGCCGACGCGACGGGAACGAAAGTGGAATCTCGCCCGTGAACATACCCGCCTCAAGGCCGGGCACCATCATGACGACGACCTGTTTGATGGAGGTATGGTGACGCACTGCCACCCACTGTGGCGCAGGTGCGTCGGCGAGGATGTACAGCGCCAGTTGCTGGAGGTCGCTGAGTTTGACGTAGGACTGAAGGCGCGAGTTGGCGGAGAAGGCGATCTCGGGGTAGTTAGACGTGCCCTTTGCCGGGTTCTTCTTGCGCTTCTTCTTGCCCATGGACACCTGCCAAGGGTATTCGTGAGGCGCAGTCTCCGCGGAGGTGCTTGAGGTGGCTGAAGCGAGCGACATGTTATCGGTGGAGCGAAGCATTTTGAGAGTGTCGCCGACGGAGGTTGTCGAAGTTGCCGGGTTCGCGGCCTCCTCGCTCGCTTCGTCGTGGCGGCGTTTGCGCGCCATGGAGGTGAATGAACAGCGAGATCGCGTGAGCACGTGACTACGAGACACCGACGCGATTTCAATATGTTGGCGTACCGAGAGAGACTGAGGAAGCAGAATTGCAGGAAGAGAAAGAATGAAGCCGTACAAAAGTCAGCGAGCAGGCATGCGAGAATGATAGAAGCACGGGCCCCTTACGCTAACGTTGAATGCTGAGGGAAGCGGCTATATAATTTGCCGACGAGTTACGTAGTTCCGGTAAGCTCGGAATATAGATGGGCCGAGAGAAGCTTAAATCGGAGGCTCGTGAGGCTCTATATCACGTGGTCAATTCGTGAGAAAGTGCAGACGTTGAGAGTGCAGCTGAACATGTGGAAAACATCAACACCAGCAACTTAAATATCGCCGCCGCTTGCGTCTTCACCCACCTCTTTCCGCCGCCGCTTGGCATCAACTGTCTGTCTTAGCCCTTCCACGCTCCTTTGTCCACCTCAATCTCATCCGCGGCTATGTCTCAACCGCATTCATAACCCCCCACCACCGTCACTTCAAACCCATACCAATCGCGCCCAAAATGCGCCTCTTCCCCCCCCAATGGGCCGACACACACCCCCTCTTCCCCTCCCCACCAGAACCGCTCTCCTACCGCCCATCCTACCCCTCCGCCATAACCGCCGGCCTCATCCTCGGCACAACCCTCCACGGCCTGCGCCGCTTCTTCGCGCGCACGCCCCTCCCTGCAGGTCACTTCACGCGCACCCTCGCCCTCAGCAGTACCTTCCTTCTCGCCCTCGACGTAGCAGCCGAATCCCGCATCGATGCCGCCGCCCTTCCGTACGTATCTCAGATCCTCGCGCAAGATGACGTGCCCCTCCCTCCGCGCCGCTGGGTGGCGCGCTCCACCCAGTGGTCCCTCGACGACCTCAACCTCGCGGGCTGCGTCGCGGGCACGGCGCTCGCGTTGCTGGCGCCGCGCTTCCGCCGGCCCCCGGTATTGCCTACTTCCTTCCCCCGCGCCCCGGTTCGCGGTCTGAGCTTCGCCCGCCCCGTGACCGGTGCTGCGCTCGGTGTGCTCGCGGGACATGTAGCCGGCGCGCTGGCGCTGGGCCGCACGGCAGGCGCGGCGGAGGAGCGACACAAGGCCAACATCGGCGCAGCGGCAGACGCCTGGTATGCGCGGACAGGGACAGAACCACCGGAAGCCATATACGGGCCCGAAGAGGATGTCGAGTACCAAGAAAGGTTGGAACAGGAGATGGAAATGCTAGACCTGGCTGGCGCGCCCGGCCGGGGGCCGTTCTCCATAGTCCCACACGTGGTGCGAGATTTCCACTGGCACCCGCGGAGTGTAGAGCAGGGCTTTGAAGAGCTGGGTGAGACGCTGGAGTGGCTGGGTCAGGAAAGAGCGAGACTGGCGAGGGAAGCGGAGTTTTGTTACTGGCTTATACTGGATACGGAGGCGGGGTGGCCGGTTGTAAGGCCGGAGGGGATGGAGGAAAGTGCGGAGATGAGGTTGAGGAGGAAGAAGCTGGAATTGCTGAGCAGTATGCAGCGGCATCTGTGGGCGACGATTAGTCTGGTTGATTGGATGATTATGGATGCGAGGAAACTGGCCCTCCAACTGCCGGCGGAGGCGAAGGGGGAGAGTTGGTTCCCCGCCGGACGGCCCGCGCGGGATCCCGTGTATGCGCCGCGGGATATGCTGGTGCAGGCGAGGGAGCATGCGGAGAATTTACGCGATCAGCTTGGGGAGCTTGAGGCGAGGGCTAGGGTTGCACCTGGGTTGAGGGAAAGTAGGGGGTGGAAGGAGGAGTGGACTGGTATTCGTGAGAATTTGAAGGCGAGTGAGGAGGTTATTCGTGAAATGGCGAAGGGGGAGGGGGAGGGAGGCGAGGCGGAGGAAGAGGGGGGGAGGGAGAATGGGAGTGCATAGCGTGTGGGCGGCGGCATTGGATGGTTGCTTTATTCCTGGCTGCGGCTGGACGGCGGGCGATGTGTACGACTAGATGAAGAGTTGGGATAGAGGACGTTACGACGTTTCGTTGGCTATGAAGGATATCAGGATGGTATCATCTTCCACCCCTAACCGGGTCCGACGCGCGTCTCCGCATTCCGATCAGGGCCCTCTTCGCACCTCGACACTCCAGTCTAACAGTGAGAATCAAAAAGGAAGCCTCTCGGTACAACCATCCATCCTCCACCATCTCGTTCCTCAACCCCACTCCTCCGGAGCAAAAAGGTACATCCATCACACCAAAGCCCGGGGCGGGACTCGAACCCGCAACCTAGCAGTATTCCCGCATGCCGGAGTACTACAGTACGAAGTATTGTAATCCTGTATCCCAGGCAGGAAAAGAGCCACCAACTCTACCAATTGAGCTACCCAAGCTGATCTGTGTCGATGGGAGAAAATGCTGGCTTTGCATGGCCACAGCAGCCGAAGAGCCAGAACAGACGCACGTGAACATGGCTCTTCACAATATCAACCCAGGCCGCGTCACCCATCCGCCCCCACCAACTCTCTTCTTTGACCGACCCTTCAGGAGCAAAAAAGCTACATCCATCTCATCAAGCCCGAGGCGGGGCTCGAACCCGCGACCTTGAGATAATCCCGCCTCACGAGGAGGATAAGAGTCACACGCTCTACCGATTGAGCTACCCAGGCTGGTTGACTTGGATGGGAGTAGAAAGCGGCGGTTTCGTATGACCCCAACTAAAAAAGTTGGAATAGAGGACGTTACATGGCTGTGAACGATATCAAAACACCCCCATTTTGCACCCCCAACTCCAACCCCCAGCTCCGCCTCCACTCCATTCTACGCCCGCCTCCTCAGCCCCACAACCAACCCCAAAGGCTTCCTTAAAAACCCCTCCCGGGTCGGTAAGTCCATCTGCCTCAGCTCAAACTCAAAATTTTTAAACACCGTCGCCGCAATAAGCGCCATCTCCATCTCCGCCACATTCCGGCCCACACACGCCCTCGGCCCATATGAAAACGGGACAAACGCCTCCTTCTGCACCTCGTTAATGCCGTCCGTCCACCGCTCCGGCCTGAAATCCTCGACATCAGTGCCCCATATTTCAGGGGAGTGGTGAATCGTATACGCCGGTACGCTGAGCACCGTCCCCGCCGGAAAGTGTTGGCCCAGAAGCGTGATTCCTGCGCCTGTAACCTCGCGCGGCAGACCGAGGGACGAGGTGCTGTGTATGCGCATCGTCTCCTTGATCACGGCATCAAGGTACGGCAAATCCTTCACCTGGCGATAATGCGGGACCCCCGGCTCCGGCAGCGCAGCATCCAACTCCTTAACCAGCGCCTCCTGCGCGCGCGGCGTGCGCAGCACATGGAACAGCAGCGCACAGCTCGTATTACTCGTCGTATCGCTCCCCGCAATAAGCTGCGTCAGCGCCTCCGCGGTCAATTCCGCACGTCCCATCGGCTGGTCATTCGCATCGCGGCCCTCCATCAACCTCGCCAGCAAATCCACCCGCTCCGTCTTCGGCTGCTCGAGCCGCGCATTTACGCGCGCCGTCGCAATACCGGCCAAGTTTTCAACAGCCTTGAGGCCACGCGAAAAGAACGGGTCCGGGAGGTATTTGGCCCAGGGCTTGAGCCAGGGGAGGATGCCGAGCGTGCCGCTGACCTCGCCGCGGCGGTTGAGGACCTCAATCGCAGGCGCGTAGTGTGTTTTCCCCTCCTTCACAACCTCCGCCACGTCCTGCCCCAGCTCGAGCATGCCGAAGGGCGCGCCGAAGGCCAGATCCCCGATAATATCGAATGCGAGGTAATTGAACCAATTCAATGCATCGATTTCCGCGTAGGCGCGCGGGGTTGGCCATTCTTCTTTAGTGGTTTTCGCAGAAGCGGCAGCGGCGTCGGACAGCTCGCCCCAGCGCTGCGCGAAGAGGGCGAGGTTGTGGTGCATGTACTCTTCGAATTGGCCGACGGATTTGGCGGAGAAGGTGTGCGAGACGGTTTTGCGCTTGCGGGAGTGTTCGGGGCGGGAACGCGTGTTGAAGAGGCCGCGCTGGATGGAGACGAAGGCGTCGTAGTAGTCACTGCGGCGAGGTCAGTCTTGTGGGAGAGGAGGGGTGGAGGGGGGATACCTCTTTAGGAACCCGTTGCCGTGCCCGTATATTGCACTCACCGCAGCCGCGTCTGCAACGCTGATATGGTGAGGCTGGATTCGCACAAGCGGTCCATACTTCTGATGTGCAGCGTGGACAGCTGCATACCGCCTCCCACGCCGGCACTGGATGAACAACCAAAGACTAGTAAACTGCGCAGGAAATGGAGCGGGGATCTTGCGCAGCGCGCCATTGCTTAGATACGGAACAAAAAAGTACGCAACCAGGAGCGCAGGGAGAAGATACGGCAGCGCGGGGAGCAGAGTCGTCAGCATCGTGTACAAGACGGCGGGACGCCGTGAGGGATGTAGTTGGTGATGCTATGAAGTGAAGTCGCAAGGCGCATGCAGTGACGTCGGCCGCAAGAAGGCGCCGCGTTGCGCGCCTTATATTCCCCGCACCTACCCCCGCTTCACGCCCCGATCCCATTTCCCGTGCATCGCACCCCGCGTTCGTGCGAAGGTCAGCGACACGCGATCAGCGAATGACGCTGGGCTTCCAAATGTGGGGTTGGTGAGCGTAAGGCGGCGTCAGGCTGCGGCGCTGATTGACGGCTCTTGGGTCGCGGGGTTAGCTTCGGGGTTGGTTCGGGGGAAATTGTCCCGTTATTGGCTTCCGGGCTGGATTGCGGGGGGTGGGGGATGCTGGGGAAGTACGTGGGGAATGGAGATTTGAGATTTGGAGGCGGATGGGTGGAGGCGCGGGTAACGTGTTCCCTTCGTGGACGGGAGTGGTATTCGGGAGTGGTATTCGGGAGTGGTATTCGGGAGTGGTATTCGGGAGGGGATATGTCGGGAAGGATGGGGTGGCATACTGTACTGTACTGGACTTTGTGAAACCCCTCGGCTTTAGGCATCTGGTAGCTTGTCATCAAGGCGGAGACGGCTATTTCGATATGTATAATCGGCTACGGATCATTATGTATCACGGGCAGTTGAAGGTGGATCACTACGACTCTGTCGTAAGGAAGCTGTTCAGGCCCCGTATATCATGAACCTGATCCGCAGTTTCTGGCGCCTGTTAACCACTTATGCGGCGTGTGTGATGCTAAAGTAACATGGAATTCCACGTGAGATCCGTATAGAAGGCCAGGTAAGATCATCCATAGGCCAGTCCCCAAAATCCCATACTTGCGTCCGATTCCTACAGCCCTCGACCTACCCCACAGTCTCGTACTTCGAGGCTCCATGAATGCCTTCCCACCACTACCACCCTGATCATTATCACCAAGCCCACACTCCTTCCCCGGAAATCCCTCCCCCACCCCCACCCCTAACCCAAAACCTCATCCCCTCCTCCCTCCCCTTCCCCTTTCTCCGTAGCAGAACCTCTCCCACACCTAACCCCCTCCCCTCCCCCCTCCTCTCCGCGCCCATAACAACCCTCCCCAACCCCCTCACCCCACTCACCGCCGTGCGCACACTCACACCCCCCCTCCCATCCGCCCCCTGGCCCAGCACCTCCGTCGTAAGCACAACCACGCACCCAAACCCCTCCGCCAGCCCCCTGAGCACCGGCACAAGTCCATGCACCCCCCCCGCATCCTCCGCCGCCCTAGCCGGCCAATACAACCCCCCAACCCCATCAACAAGCACCGCATGCAGCGCCCTTGCCCCCGATTCATGCCGAGCCGAGAGCAAATACTCCGGTAGAGCCGCCAGCGTCGCATACACCTGCGCGAGCCCCTTAGGCCGGAATACTTGCACATGCCGCAGCGCATCCGCAACCGCAGCCTCCAGCACCAGCGGCGCAATACCAGGCATCGCTCCTACCACCGCTGACTCCGGGATGGGCTTGCGGGGGCCCAGGACGTACGCGCGCATCACGCCCGCGAGCCGAGCAACGTCGAATCGCGCATCGAGGTCGAGGACCACAATACACGCGGCTTTACCGCCTAACTGCGTTGGTAGCGTTGCGATTCCTGTGGCGAGGTAGAGGAGGTGCGTTTTGCCGGCGTTGGGGGTTAGGGATGTGAGTTCGATGACTGGGTTGGGACAGCGATTCGGGCCGGTAGGGTGGAGGGCGCGGTCCAGCGGGGGAATGTTGAAATACGGCGTGTGCGGGTCGCGCGGGAGTGCTGTAAGAAGCTATGCAGAAATTAGTTGCCTGGCTGGAAGCCGATGTTGATATCCCCAGCGGTGTCGTCGGGCCGCGCGAATCTCACCTCACGCAACCACCCGCCCTCAACCTCACCCAACAACCTTCTGCCAACCTCCTCAGCACTCATCCTCCCCTCTTTCTCGCATAATGATCCCGATGCAATTCGGCCCCGCGGCGACTACCTTCCCTTCCTCGGCACTGCCCCAGCACGTCGCGCGAGATGTGCGCGGCAAACCGCGCGGCGTGCGGCTGGAGGACTGTCCGCTGAGCGAGATGACGCAGTACCGGTGTGATATTGTGGGGCGCGAGACGAGCAGTCCTAGTGTGCGGTGTGAGTGGTTTTTGAGGCTGTTTCGCAGGTATGTATGCTGTGTTTTCTTGCTCTATGTCTGCGGATGGGCATTGGTGGTGGATGTGGTGGTGGTGACGTGGGGAGTTTGCGAGGTTCGGCCCGGGTTTGCAGCGCGGCGGTTGACCCGGGTGGGAAATGTGTCGTCTGCGGGAGCCAAACTCACTGAATCGGAGCTGATTTGCGCCTGCAGATGCGCCGATGGCTTGACGGTCGAAACGACGGACTGGGAATGGTCGCGCAGCAAATGAATGCCCGTTGCTCGGTCGGCAGAGCCTTACACCTTCACGTCAATCACCATGCAACCCGAATGCCTTCTACCGGTCACAAGGGCCAGTATCCTTAGTATTGGCAACCCGTTCCACGCCGCGAGGCCTGGAAATCTAAAATACAGGGTCCGCGTTTTATGACAGACAGCTCGCCATAAATGATGATATCCCATATGCCGTACGCCACGCTGAATCGCTCCGAAAAAAAAGCACATCGCAAAGTAGAAATACAATGTCCGCTACGCCTTCTTCATCCCCGCCTTCCTCCACACATTCCTCTCGTAGTTGACCAGCATCACGTCGTCGAATCCCGGCAGGCTAGGCGGCTGTTCCATGTCAAAGTCCTCGTGCATATAGTCGCTCTGCCTCTCATCTTCCGCCACCTTATCATCGTGCTGCGCTTCCCTCAGTGCCTCCTCGAATATCTGCCTGTCCCTCGTAACCCTCTCAGGCTTGTGGTGCGTCGCCTTCGCCAGCCCCACCCGCCGCGCAGCCATCAGCTTGCGAAGCGCCTGCTCCGCCAGCACGCCCTCCTGCGTCGCC